TATGATAAATTGTAAATAAGTATGATAAATATGATAAATATGATAAATATAAATTGTAAATAAGTATGATAAATATGATAAATAGTGAATAAATATGATTGATAAATAGTGAATAAATATGATAAATTATAAATGAATATGATAAATATGATAAATAGTGAATAAATATGATAAATTGTAAATGAATATGATAAATAGTGAATATATATGATGAATTGTAAATGAATATGATAAATTATAAATGAATATGATAAATACTTAAATAAATATGATAAATTGTAAATGAATATGATAAATAGTGAATATATATGATAAATTGTAAATGAATATGATAAATACTTAATAGACATGATAAATTGTAAATAGGTATGATGAATAATGAATAAGTAAAGCAAACAAAAAAAGTTTAAAAACTATACTTTAACTTTAACTTTTGAAACTTTAACTTTATATAGAAATGCTGTGATATTATGTCTGAAAAGATGCTTTTCTAGTCTATTAATATAAACAAATGATAATTAATCATTTTCTGATAATTTATAAAGAGGTCAGTCACAAATAGAGGTCACTACCAGGAACCAAATTCTGACATCCCCTCAGAGTTATATTTTTAAGTATATTTTCAGGCATGAAGTTGACAAGGCAACATTATCATTAGACAGTAATTACCAGGAAAGCACAGCATTGATTGACTGAAAATGACATCAGTTAAAGATAAACAGTCCTTGCTGTTATGAGACGATAACAAATTAAACATGCCCTGAAAAACCTGCCCAATCTGTTCATCACTTTAAAAGCCATCACACTAAAATGGAGCTTTAGTCTCTGTGGATATTTGGTGAGGGCTGAGCAAAATTTCCTAAAGGAAAAATGCTTTTCAAGATTACTTCAACTCTGTCACCTTTAAATTCACTGAATTCATTTCTATTGTTCATGTTTTAAACAAAGATAGCTAGTTAAAATCAATCACTCATTTTCAAATGGAAAAAAAAAAACATTGATGCTATGTGATAATTTTGGTTTTTTTTTCCTTTGTGATGTTAGCAATATTTTCATAACCAAAATGATTATAGTTAATGCTGATTAAAATGATATCAAAAAGATAAAAAATAAGATCTGACAAGAGAATTTGGGAGAAGAATGACCTTTTGGCCGTGAATGACTTTGTGTTATGAAATAATTATTGGGTATTTCTTTCGCTTAATTACCCCTATTTTCCCCACTTTTTTCTCCTCTTTTCCCGTGTGAGCACCACAGAACATCAGACATGGTATATCTCTTCATTTGGGAAAGAGATTCTTTCCCCATGTATGTGAGAAAGAGAATCTTTTTCTGTGTAAGCCCCTCAGGTTATGTGACATTATATATCTGTTGATGTGGGAAAGAGAATATTTTCCTATATAAGCCACAGCCCACATAGCTTTGGACATAGTACATCTGTTTGTGTGGAGAAGATAATCTTTTTCAGTATAAGCCCCACAGACTATGGGACATTGTACATCTGTTGGTTTGGAGAAGATAATCTTTTTCAGTGTAAGCCCAACAGACTATGGGACATTGTACATCTGTTGGTTTGGAGAAGATAATCTTTTTCAGTGTAAGCCCAACAGACTATGGGACATTGTACATCTGTTGGTGTGAGGAAGATAATCTTTTTCAGTGTAAGCCCCACAGACTATGGGACATTGTACATCTGTTGGTGTGAGGAAGATAATCTTTTTCAGTGTAAGCCCCACAGACTATGGGACATTGTACATCTGTTGGTTTGGAGAAGATAATCTTTTTCAGTGTAAGCCCCACAGACTATGGGACATTGTACATCTGTTGGTTTGGAGAAGATAATCTTTTTCAGTGTAAGCCCCACAGACTATGGGACATTGTACATCTGTTGGTGTAGGAAAGAGAGTAGAAGGATCAATTGAAACTGTTGTCACTAAATACTGATATTATTTAGTGACAGGATTTTGATAGCCATATTCCTGATTGAATTACCAGTACTATCTTGGTCAATAAAGTCAATTATTATGTACACTATAATTATAAGGATTGGTTTTAATTCAGCAAATATGAAAGAAGAGCTGGAGAAATCTTGACTAGGCATACAGTACTATAAAGTTGATGTAGAAATCTCGACACAGACAGAACTAGGTATACAGTACTACAGAGTTGATGTAGAAATCTCGACACAGACAGAACTAGGTATACAGTACTACAGAGCTGATGTAGAAATCTCGACACAGACAGAACTAGGTATACAGTACTACAGAGCTGATGTAGAAATCTCGACACGGACAGAACTAGGTATACTGTACTATAGAGCTGATGTAAAAATCTCGACACAGACAGAACTAGGTATACAGTACTACAGAGTTGATGTAGAAATCTCGACACGGACAGAACTAGGTATACAGTACTACAGAGCTGATGTAGAAATTTCGACACGGAGAGAACTAGGTATACTGTACTATAGAGCTGATGTAGAAATCTCGACACGAACAGAACTAGGTATACAGTACTACAGAGCTGATGTAGAAATCTCGACACGGACAGAACTAGGTATACAGTACTACAGAGCTGATGTAGAAATCTCGACACGGACAGAACTAGGTATACAGTACTACAGAGCTGATGTAGAAATCTCGACACGGACAGAACTAGGTATACAGTACTACAGAGCTGATGTAGAAATCTCGACACGGACAGAACTAGGTATACTGTACTGCACAGCTGATGTAGAAATCAACAGTACTTCAGAGGTGATGAAAAATGTTCAAAAAACAATTACAGGGCAAGTCCTGTTTCTGTCCTGAAGCTGAAAGCTGTACACTAAAAGTACACTGATTATCTTGTATTGCCTCGAGCGTATTGAGTTCAGTTCAAAGGATTGTAGAAAAGACTTGTAAATAAAACCACTTTCTATATGAATTTACTTACCGTAATAATAATAGTAAATTCGAAAGAAATGTCCAAATTCCATCAGCATGGCTGTGTCAAACTTTACATGGTGGATGTCATCAACAAAGCAAGAGACACCATGGAATTATTGCCCTTGTACTTTTTCTGGTCTACATTTAAATCTTTCTGTTGGTCATATTTTCACCCAAGTTTCATCAAATTTGAGTTTTAATTAAGATTCTGTTGATAAGTCAGTATTGTCTTTCCTCTAGTATTTAGGTTTGCTAAGCAAGGGCTGCTGGCAGATAAAAGTGTTGATTTATTAAGAAGGGACTTTGTTAGGTTAATTAAATAGTGACCACAATCAATGTCAACATGTGGAGGATTAGCACTAAAACATACCAGTTTGATACTCCTCAGGTTTGATATCAAACACAGCATTAGTGCAGTAGTTAATGATAGTTTTTAGAAATTCTATCCTGATGGATCACAGTCAGTCCAGTGTTATTGATGACAACATCCCTTGATTACATTCTTTTCCTTCTCCAGTTCTGATGGATGTCCAAGTTTCAAATTGATTTCCTCAAAGCAACGGCTGAAGTTAGTGGTCAGTTGTGACATAATCGACGGAGATAATGTGATTCTGCATACAGAAGACATCATATACATAGAATGATAAAATAATTCTGATGAAAATGGAACCTTAGGTCTTGTTGTAAATATTGCTATAAATAACCACATCACAGACATTGCTAGGAATACAACAAATGGTAGTGCTACTGTTCAGCTTGTGTTTTACAATGGTTCATTATTTCAGCAATTTTTCAAAAATATTGATGCGAAAAAGATTATTTTTGGGTGAAGTTGCAGAACGAAAATTGTTTTTTTGTTTTTTACAAATTTTTATTTAAAATATATCACTTTTCACAATTTTTATTTATCCTCAAAGGCAGTGAAAATGAAAATCCCTCAAAAATAGCCACATGTATAGCCAAATATGGGATGGTTACATTCTCTGGATGAATTCAAGTGTGGATTTGATATCATGGCCTCAATTAGAATGGATACAGTGTTTGGATTTAAAATTAATTTTTTTATTTATTTAAACGAAATACTCCCATTTTCATTACATTGTTTCCCTGTCTCCTGAAAACATTGCAGCATATTAGTTCAATGAAAACTTAAAACTTAAATTTTATTTTCAAATTGCAATCTCAGCAAAACTCAAATTTCTATTTCTTCTGAAACGACAAAAAATGTTTCAGTAGCAGAATTGATATTTGTAGTGATTTGATTTTCTCTGTGTGGTGTCTATAAACAAAATCTTTATTACAGGAAAAAAAGAGATTTCTAATATTTGTTTTGTATGTGGGAAGAATTTCTGATCTGTATTGTTATCAATAACAAACATTGATTTTCTTATTTAGACTACAGGGAAAAATTCAATGATTTTATATTTCAATAATATTCAGTCGTTTTGGTGTGGAGTATTCTTAATGGTTTATTGGGTGGAAAAAAGGGGTGAGATATGATCTCCTCGTAGTTTGGTAGGTAACAACCAACTAGTGAGGGGCTGCCAACTTGTTTGGTGATGGGATCTCACCCTGGGTAGATACGTGAGGGACTGGCACCTTTCAGTGGTTAGGGTATCTCACCCTGGGTAGACACATATGGGGCTGTCACCTTTCTGTGGTTAGGGTATCTCACCCTGGGTAGACACGTGTGGGACTGGCACCTTGCTTATTGAGGAGATCTCACCCTGGTTAGAAAATCAGAGGCATGCATAGTCTATAATAAGATTTCATCCAGAACGGAAAAGTAAATGGCTGGCACCCGTCCTGGTTAGGGGATCATGACCTCATTAAAAGGTGTCGGTGAGGGCCTGAAAAGTAGTGAACTCTCAAAAATTGTCTCCCAAAGTATGGTAAGTTGAAGATATCATGTAAAAAGTGTGGTTTCCCATTTATTTTTTTTTATAAAACCTTTAGCTCCTGATAATAGTGTCATTCCTAGGACAGATCCTTAGTGCCTCTAAATTACAGAGTATATATATGTTTAGAAATGTCATCTTGGAAAATCATGTTTTTTTTAATTATATTTTGTAGGCGTGCCACCAACAGAGACAAGAGCAGGAGAGAAAAACAGAAATCTACGATCAAGAGAACAACAAAACAAAGGAAGAGGAAAGAGATTACAAACAGACACGACATTTAAAACAGAACAAGGCGGGTCAATCAATCAGAAATGGCTACCCTATCGCTGAAGATCAGCGTGGTGGGCAACGATGTCGTCAAGACGATGCAGTTTGAACCCTCAACTCTTGTATACGACGCCTGTAAGATCATTCGAGATAAACTCGTGGAAATACAACAAGGAAACAGTAAGTCGTACATTTCATGATACATTAACGTGACAAATGATTTGGTAGAGGTGTAATGCATGTTAATCAGGAATTTTGTGTCAGTAATGGAGCGTTCACACATAGCAACACCTGAATGAAAAAGATGCATAAAGTGTCTTTAAACTTTCAGAAAAAATTAATGAACTAATGGTTATTAGTTGTTTACAGTATCTTAAGGGGAGGTAACTCTAAAGCAACAGAAAAGTATTCTTATATCATGCAGGTACATTAGCTAAGTAGCATGTACCTTTAATTACTACATGCTTGTAGTATGTAACATTTTACTGTACTGCATTCGGTTGGCATTCTTCTTGTCAATATTTAAATTAGCTCCAGACTTATAGGTTTGTTTTATAAATTGGAAAACACTCCAATATAATTGAATTCATTGGGTATTTATGATGTTTGAGATGTCACAAATGTGTGCTTCCATATCCTTCTTAACCTCTTGAGACGCCACAATAAACATGCCTCCTTGGCTGCAGATGAAATGTTTATCTAACAGAAAATAAGTATCAAACATTGATTAATGATGATAATCTTCACAAGTTCCAAGCATATTCATTTATTAGAGTGAAAAATTACTCAGAAATCGACTGTTATGCCAGGTTGTTTACCCAGACAACTGTCAGTCTACCAAACGATTGCGTCATATCTCGATGAAGATATTCATCAAAATGAAAAAAAATCAAATTATTACATACAATAAATCTCCGCAAATTGATATCAACATACCGACATTAAGCACCACTCTGGTCATCCTTTTATCGAAAAGAGCACTACAAACTTGTACATGGATGTAGGCATCATGTGTAAAGGACCAACCCAGAAGTCACTCATGTGCCGACTGAGAAACAATATAAAACTATAAAAAGTCATTGGTTTGTAAATTAAAGCTGTCATCTTCCTGGAATGTTCCAAGGTATCAAAGTTAATGGTTATGATGTCATGAAAAAATTATGACTTAGCAGTTGAGATATTTCACTTTATAGTGGTATGAATACCACCTTCTCATATTAGGGTTACAAAGTATAAATGGCACTACAATGTTCAATATTACACACTGTGAGTGTAAGTCCTTACCACATTCCCAAGTGTAACAAATGATGTAATATTTACCATATTCCCAATAGGTCTATCATGGATCTGATGAAAATTAACTATCACTTTTATGTTTGTACACACTTCCAATTGTCTCATAGGGACTGAAAATTTTGAATGGAAACAAGAAATGAATACAATTAGCCCCTATATAAGAGATCATTTTGTTGGTATGGAGAACTAATTTGACCCCTGATAGCAATAGATTTTGGATCCATTGTTTGCGCCAGAGGTACCTAGGTCCTTAAAGTTCAGGGACTGACACTCGGTGTCAGTTACACGGATTTCTGTTGGTAGGGATGGATATGAGATGTATCAGCTAGTGACAAGATAGTCAATATATCAATATTTTACACTTCTCACTCTGACTGGACTCAAGTGTTTAATTTGTCCTTCTGTCCATCTCTTCATCCCCCTGTCAATTAATTCTACCCTGTAGTAACCATGTGCATTTTCGTGTTGTAAACATGCTGCAGATATATGACACAATTTTGTGTTGTAAACGTGCTGAAGATATATGGCACAATTTTGTGTTGTAAGCATGCTGCAGATATATGGCACAATTTTGTGTTGTAAACGTGCTGAAGATATATGGCACAATTTTGTGTTGTAAGCATGCTGCAGATATATGGCACAATTTTGTGTTGTAAGCATGCTGCAGATATATGGCACAATTTTGTGTTGTAAGCATGCTGCAGATATATGGCACAATTTTGTGTTGTAAGATATATGGCATGCTGCAGATATATGGCACAATTTTGTGTTGTAAGCATGCTGCAGATATATGACACAATTTTGTGTTTTAAGCATGCTGCAGATATATGACACAATTTTGTGTTGTAAGCATGCTGCAGATATATGACACAATTTTGTGTTGTAAGCATGCTGCAGATATATGGCGCAATTTTGTGTTCTAAGCATGCTGCAGATATATGGCACAATTTTGTGTTGTAAATGTGCTGAAGATATATGGCACAATTTTGTGTTGTAAACGTGCTGAAGATATATGGCACAATTTTGTGTTGTAAACATGCTGAAGATATATGGCACAATTTTGTGTTGTAAGCATGCTGCAGATATATGGCACAATTTTGTGTTGTAAGCATGCTGCAGATATATGACACAATTTTGTGTTTTAAGCATGCTGCAGATATATGACACAATTTTGTGTTGTAAGCATGCTGCAGATATATGGCGCAATTTTGTGTTTTAAGCATGCTGCAGATATATGGCACAATTTTGTGTTGTAAATGTGCTGAAGATATATGGCACAATTTTGTGTTGTAAACGTGCTGAAGATATATGGCACAATTTTGTGTTGTAAACATGCTGCAGATATATGGCACAATTTTGTGTTGTAAACGTGCTGAAGATATATGGCACAATTTTGTGTTGTAAGCATGCTGCAGATATATGGCACAATTTTGTGTTGTAAACGTGCTAAAGATATATGGCACAATTTTGTGTTGTAAGCATGCTGCAGATATATGGCACAATTTTGTGTTGTAAACGTGCTGAAGATATATGGCACAATTTTGTGTTGTAAGCGTGCTGCAGATATATGGCACAATTTTGTGTTGTAAACGTGCTGCAGATATATGGCACAATTTTGTGTTGTAAACGTGCTGCAGATATATGGCACAATTTTGTGTTGTAAACATGCTGCAGATATATGGCACAATTTTGTGTTGTAAACATGCTGCAGATATATGGCACAGTTTTGTGTTGTAAACATGCTGCAGATATATGGCACAATTTTGTGTTGTAAGCATGCTGCAGATATATGGCACAATTTTGTGTTGTAAGCATGCTGCAGATATATGGCACAATTTTGTGTTGTAAACGTGCTGAAGATATATGGCACAATTTTGTGTTGTAAGCGTGCTGCAGATATATGGCACAATTTTGTGTTGTAAACGTGCTGCAGATATATGGCACAATTTTGTGTTGTAAACGTGCTGCAGATATATGGCACAATTTTGTGTTGTAAACGTGCTGCAGATATATGGCACAATTTTGTGTTGTAAACATGCTGCAGATATATGGCACAATTTTGTGTTGTAAACATGCTGCAGATTCATACGGGATGTGTTTCTGTCATGGGTATGAAATCCTATTATAGAGTGCTGTAACATACAATGATGGGTTTGAAAGTCGTCTCTGGTAAATCCCCTTTAATTTGTCAACCCTTTGATTTCAGAGAGAGGCTCCATATTGTAATGCACTGATTTCAAATGAGTAAATTATCAGTCAAACTTCTGTTGTATTTTTAAATAAAAATATAAAATAGCATGATGAGGTTTTAAGGTAAAAATTTGTGAGAGACGGTTTCAACCTTCAGTAAATCACCATTCACAAGTTAATGTGACTTTCATATTTGAGTGCAAAGTGTGATTTAAAAACATTTCATTTATATCATCTTTGATCACCATCGTAAAGTAACCGGAATTTATAGAATGAATATACTGCTGAGGTATCAGAGACGTCCATATTTTGCTCCTTTGTGGGTGTGTCTGAGAGTGTCAGAAGGGCCTGCTTTGTTCCAGGCAAGTTTAGTGTAGTCATATTGTCCAAAGGAGTACCAGAAAGGCAGTGATATTCAGAGCTCAAAAATTCATAGGTTCTCTGTGTTATAAATCACTTTGAACTTTCATGTCAATGAGAGTCTTTGCTTTCCCGTTTCTGTTTTCCATTTTACTGTTCAGTTTACCGCAAATGTCACATAGCCGACTTCTATCGGTCGTCATCGATTTGACATTATCAAAACTATGAGAAAATAGTTTTATAATTGACTAAATGGTTGTAATATGACAAATCTCTAATGGGACAGATATCAGCCAATCAAACACTAGATCTACTGATGCAGAAGGGCGGGCTTAGTGGCCTATACTGGCCGATCTGGTATGCAGACGGGTTTTCTGTTTCGTTTTGACATTTTTGTGTAAAGGTCACAATAGCTTGACAACCAATTTAGGAAATTATGATTGTTTATCTCGAGACCAGTAGCAATGGCCGCCATATTTTGCTGGTTATAATTTCTTTTTCCCTTTTTTAGAATTTTTTTTTTCAGCCATTTATGACTGACTTGACAATGACTTGACATGTTTTAAATTTTAACTTAATTTCATTTATTCCTATTTCCGAAATTTTATGCAAATTTTGTCCAAAACAGAAATCTATAACAAGTGCTAATGACACAAAGCTGAAAAGTGTTGGTTTGTTGATAACAAGTTTAACTTTCACTTCAGTATGTCATCATTGTTTAGCAGCCACCAGGGGATGGCCATTATCCCCATCTATGTCTTGGTCTCTGTGCAGCATAACTCAGGGGTGGAGGGTGGGGAGAGGGGGGACCTTCGGGTCAGGGAAGGCAGTCATCATTGTCACAATGCACTCTGCTAAGACAGATATGCCACTCTGGATAAATATCAGCAACTTTCAACTGACTAGGTATGGAAGAATTTCTTTCATATTTCTGCACGCAAAAAATCAGACTGGAAACCAAGAGGTTCACACCCAAGTGGAATGTCAAACAGAAAATCTAGAGATTCAGACCCATGCAGACCGTCAGACAGGACACCGTGAGTTTTCTGGTTCAGACCCATGCAGACCATCAGATAGGCCACCTAGAGTTTGCTGGTTCAGACCCATGCAGACCGTCAGACAGGCCACCTAGAGTTTTCTGGTTCAGACCCATGCAGACCATCAGATAGGCCACCTAGAGTTTTCTGGTTCAGACCCATGCAGACCATCAGATAGGCCACCTAGAGTTTTCTGGTTCAGACCCTTGCAGACCATCAGACAGGATACCTAGAGTTTTCTGCTTCAGACCCTTGCAGACCATCAGATAGGCCACCTAGGGTTTTCTGGTTCAGACC